CTGGTTCACTCAGGCCTGGGGGAGGGAGGGGTACAGAATGCGGGGCGGGCCTGCGGCGGCAGAGGCCAACATGACATTGCAACAGCCTGAGGCATGCCATATGTTCTCCCCGGGAAGCTGTCCCTGGATCTCGGGACCCTGGCAGTGGCGGGCTGCACAGGCTCTCAGGAGGGGAGGTGTGGATAGTGACCTGCGCTTGCACACAGGCTTCTTGGTGGCTACAGCAGCAGCCTTAGCGTTTCATGCCCGTCTGTGGTGTCCACGCTGATAGCCGTGGCTTGCGCCCATTTCTGGAGCTCGTTTAGGTGGTGCCCTGAATCCCCTCTCCTCATGCACCCCGAAACAATGGTCCCTTGCCTCTTCGGCAGGTCCAGCCTTTTCCCCGGACTCCCTCCTGGCTAGCTGTGGCGCACTAGCCCCCTTCAGGCTGTGTTCATGCAGCCAACCCCAGTTCTCTCCCTGGGATCTGACCTCCGAAGCCCGAGCCTCAGCTCCCAGACCCCGCCTGCCCCGGCGGGTGAGCAGACAAGCCTCTCAGGCTGGTGAGTGCTGGTCGGCACTGATCCTCTATGTGGGAATCTCTCCACTTTGCCCTCTGCACCACTGTTGCTGAGCTCTCCTCCATGGCTCCAAAGCTTCCCCCCTGACCCACCCCCCCGACCCCCGCAGTGAAGGGGCTTCCTAGTGTGTGGAAACTTTTCCTCCTTCACAGCTCCCTCCCAGAGGTGCAGGTCCCATCCCTATTCTTTTGTCTCTGTTTTTTCTGTTTTCTTTTGCCCTACCCATGTATGTGGGGAGTTTCTTGCCTTTTGGGAAGTCTGAGATCTTCTGCCAGTGTTCAGTAGGTGTTCTGTAGGAGTTGTTCCACATGTAGATGTATTTCTGATGTATTTGTGGGGAGGAAGGTGATCTCCATGTCTTACTCCTCTGCCATCTTGAAGATCTTCCTGACATAGCGTTTAAAATGCTGACTTAGAGGGGCTTCCCTGGTGGCACAGTGGTTGAGAGTCCGCCTGCCGATGCAGGGGACACGGGTTCGTGCCCCGGTCCGGGAAGATCCCACATGCCGCGGAGCGACTGGGCCCGTGGGCCATGGCCGCTGAGCCTGCGCGTCCGGAGCCTGTGCTCTGCAACGGGAGAGGCCACAACAGTGAGAGGCCTGCGTACTGCAAAAAAAAAAAAAAAAATGCTGACTTAGAAAATATTTTTATATATATATATATATATATATATATATATATATATATATATATATATGATAGTGTTTTTATGTTTTGGAATTAGGAGTTTCATACATTGCTTATAGCATTTCTTTCATTTCTATCTAGATGTTTGACTTTGGCCAAATTAATTGATTGGTCAGAGACTGTTTGAATGGCAAAAGAGCCTACAGTGGCACTTTGAGATTACCTCTACTTTTTGTTTTTCTAACACCCGAACTCTGGAAACTTCTGTTGCAGCTAGATCATAATAAACTGGTACAATTATGTTACATACTTTAAAACAAAGAAAACCGAAGACCATTAGAAACCAGTTAGTAAAATATTAACTCTATCTGCCTGTAGAGTTACAGGCAGAATCTTAACAGATAGTTTAGTTAGACCTCTTCGTTTTCCTAATGTGGATACCAGTTTAGTGAGGTATGTTACAGTTAATGGCAGAATCAGGAAGAAGAATCTAGGTCTATCTCTCATGTTGTGTTCTTTGTTGTATTTCACTACAAAGCAGGTGTAGAGCAGCTATTTAAACTACATTTAACTATTTCTATTTAAAATACAAAATGATTCAGAGTAACTTTAAAACTTATTTATACCTAGATTGTGATTTTTCCCTCTTAAAGAACTCTATAACATCAAAGGTGGCCAAATAGAGACATTTTGGTGTTTACAAATTGAGGCTCAGAAATTAAGTCTGAATCTTGGGTGATTTATGTCCCTTTAGATTCCACCTTGTTGCCCATCTGTTTCTCCCACATGGGAGATAAAAGTGAAGAGATTGATTGAAGAGGAGACGTTTTATTTATTTTTTTTGGCCACACTGCGTGGCCTGTGGGATGTTAGTTCCCCGACCAGGGATTGAACCCGTGCCCCCTGCAGTGGAAGTGAGGAATCCTAACCACTGGACCGCCAGGGAGTTCCCAAAGAGGACACATTTTACACTTCTTATATTTTCTTCCTCCAAAAAAAATCATAAGCCTGAGAGGGAGAAGAAATGGATTTCTCAGTTTATAGCCTGGTTTTTTGCAAATGCAGTTAAATGCAAATTCTCTGAGGCAGGATTTTATTTAGTATCACTCTTGAGATGAATGCCTGCTTCTGATATAGAATGTCTCTGGATTTTAATAAATTGATTAGTTGATTTTTTTTTAATTAAAAAAATTTTTTGGCTGTGTTGGGTCTTCATTGCTGCACATGGGCTTTCTCTAGTTGCAGTGAGCAGCGGCTACTCTTCGTTGCAGTGTGCAGGCTTCCCAACGTGGTGGCTTCTCTTGTTGCCGAGCATGGTTTCTAGGCACGTGGGCTTCAGTAGTTGCAGCGTGAGGACCCTAGAGCGTGCTGTCTTCAGTAGTTGCAGTGCGTGGGCTCAGTAGTTGCGGCGCGTGGGCTCAGTAGTTGCAGCGCGTGGGTTCTAGGGTGCACCGGCTTCAGTAGTTGTAGTGCATGGGCTCTAGAGCACAGGCTCAGTAGTTGTGGTGCACGGGCTTAGCTGCTCTGTGGCATGTGGGATCTTCCCCGACCAGGGATTGAAGTCCCCTGCGTTGGCAGGTGGATTTTTTACCACTGCGCCACCAGGGAAGTCCCTGGTTGATTATTTTTTAGATAACCTTTTTATTTTGGCATAATTGTAGCTTTACAGAAAAGTTAGAAAGCTGGTACAGACAGTTCCCTTATTTCCCTCCCTGAGTTTTCCCCCCATTGTTAGCATCTTAGGTGACTGTGTTTCATTTGTCAAAACTAAGACACTGACATGGGTACATTACTATCAACTATACTCTAGGCTGTACTGTAGTTTTTGTGTTTTAGGATACCACAGGTCTCTGTAAGTCTCCTCTGGTCTGTGACAGTTTCTTAGGCTTTCTTTGTTTTTCATGACCTTGAAAGTCTTGAGAAGAACTGGCCAGGTGTCCTGTAGACTGTCCCCCAATCTAAGTTTGTCTGGTGCTTTTCTCATGATCAGCCTGGGGTTATGGATTTTAAGTGCCCTTCTTGTTACATCATATCAGGGATTATGTGACATACACACAACATCACTGGTGATGTTAACCCTTACCATTGAATAAGACAGTGTTTGCCAGGTTTCTCCACTGTTAAGTTACTATTTTTGCCTTTCCATACTCTGTTCTTGGGAAGCAAGTCACTGAGTCCATCCCACTCTCAAGGGTAAAGGGCAGGAATTTAGCTCCACATCCTGAAGAAAGTATTTACCTTTATTAAATGGAATTCTTTTGTAAAGATTCATCTTTTTTCCCCCTATTTGTATATTTATTTATTCATTCATTTGTTTATATCAGTATGGACTCATGGAAATGTTTTTATAAAATGTTTTTTAGTATAATATCGAATACTACATTGTTTTACTGGCTCAGATTGTTCTAGCTTTGGCTATAAGGAGTTCTGTCAGATTGGCTACCATGCTCCTCCTTTTTTTGAGCACTTCTTTACTTTCTGGTTCTATAAGATGCTCTAGGGTCATCTTGTATTTTCCCTGCCCCAGCTCTAGAATCAGCTATTTCTGCAAGTAGCCCTGGTTCTTTTTATTGGAGAGTGGCATCTAGAATTAAGATCTGGGCACTGAGTATGCTCATTGGTATTGGGGTGTCATTGCTTCTAGGCCTGCTTGTGGGCAGAGCTATGTAATAAATGTGTATATGCTAACCTATGTTTACACATTTATCTGTAATTGTATCTCTGTCCACTTGTGTTTATATTAAGGTAACCAAGAGTTTATACATATGTCTCTGACTCTAACCCTGTACCACTGGGTTCACTTTAGGCTTCCTTCCTTGCTTACCTGTAACTGCTCTCTGAGAGTAAGAAACCTGGCTTCTGCCATCCCATTTACTTATTTATCCAGCCCCAGTATACATGCAAAGTAATTTCAGATTTTTTAATCTGTACCCCTGTGAGAAATAAATTCACTAACCTGGAGTGTAGTGTTTCTGCATAACATAGAGCTCCTTTTTATCTTTAGCCTTCTAGATTTAACTTTTGCACAGTATGTGCCCTTTCTCTCCTGCTTTGATGCGCAGGTACTTGTGATTTAAGGGCCTAAGCTATACATCAGTCTTTCTGAGTTGATTACCTTTGTTATTTTCTGAGGTTATGGAGATGAATTCTGTCTTGGAGAAATACAGATGAATAATTACCTAGTGAACCACAGGGTTTCTAAGATGAACCTTCTGGTATAGGATGTGTGATTTTTCATTTTTTTAATACCAAATATGAAGTTTCTATGTTTACAATAATATTTCCAGACTACCATATATCATATAGTCTTTGCATGCTGATTGAGCGTGGGAAAGAACAACAGTTCTAAAGTGGGAACTGGAATCGCTTTTCTTCAGTTTCTGAACAGTTCCAGCATTTCTCCAAAAGATACTAGGTTTCTTTTGTCAATGAGTTTTCTGTCTTTTAATTCTTTACTTTTGTTACTTTATTCTTTTGAGCTCACTGGTTTGTAGGGGAGCCAGACTTGACTTTTACTAAAACCACAGCTTACAATTTTGATTTATTTGGTCAAGTAAAGAAAAATTATATGTGCATTTATGACACATTTGAGGAATATATCTTTTTCTAGCCTTTTTATAAGATAAAACTGTCCTGAGGGCTGTATTTTGTATTGGAGAAATTTTTGGGTTTTAATTTCTTAAAATAAAAATTTTCTTGGATTCTGGTGTCAGAGATTGGATTTGTTCCAGTCTAGGAAATAGTTTAGAATAGCTGCCTTGTGCTACTGTTGGAATGTTCCTAGAAAGTAAATGTGTTCCCTTGAATCTTAAGTCTAGAGCATGTTTGGAGAGGATTCAAGAGTTGGAGGACTTGCTTGCTAAAGAAAGAGACAACTCTCGCCGCATGCTGTCTGACAAAGAGAGAGAGATGGCGGAAATATGGGATCAGATGCAGCAACAGCTGAACGATTATGAACAACTTCTTGATGTAAAGTTAGCCCTGGACATGGAAATCAGTGCGTACAGGAAGCTCTTAGAAGGCGAAGAAGAAAGGTGAGTAACTTAGTTGTCACCCTACCTCATAGTCTGCTTTTTGCCCCCACCCTTTCTATTTAAAGAAAAGTAAATAGGTTTTTTTTTTTTTTTAACAATTAAGGCAACTTTAAATATTTTCTTGTTTCTTTTAATACCTAGCTGTAGAGATAGGTAGTAATAGATCATACTTTTACCTCAACAGTAGAAGTTGTTCAAGCAGTCTTATTATTTTAAATGCTGAACTCTGTCAGGATAGAGTCTTTCCTTTGAGATTTAAAATGTTTTGATAATTTAATATGTTGCAAAATATCAGATTTGCTGAAAGAGACTTTATACTTATTTTTCAAATCTGGTTAGTGTATTAATCCTTTTATACCTTTTCTGAGAAAAAAGTTCCAAAGGGAAAGTGTCTGATTTAGAATAAAAGCCATTTAATTTCAGTATTGTATACATTGTGACTGTAATTTTGTAAAAAGAAAATGCAGGTATGAAAAACTTAAGGAAAGTGTACTAAGTGTAACAGGGGTTGTGGTAGGGTGGTGGTAGATGACATGTTCACCCCAATGTCCTCCCCTCATCTCCCCACCCCCTGGTTTTCCAAACTTCCTGCATTATGGTTATAGTCTATTCCTACCTAAAACATTCAAATAATACTTTTTTAAAAAGAAAAAAAAGTACGACAGTGGGCATTGTAGCACAAATAAGTTTCTCTTCGTTAAGATATATGTTGGGGCTTCCCTGGTGGTGCAGTGGTTGACAGTCCACCTGCCGATGCAGGGGACACGGGTTCATGCCCTGGTCTGGGAAGATCCCACATGCCGCGCAGTGGCTGGGCCTGTGAGCCATGGCCGCTGAGCCTGCGCATCTGGAGCCTGTGCTCCGCAATGGGAGAGGCCACAACAGTGAGAGGCCTGCGTACTGCAAAAAAAAAAAAAAATGTATGTTGGCTTTGTCTAACAGATTGTCATTAATGTTTTGCTTTAGTAATGCATGTACAGGATATTAATATCCTTTTTTTTAAGGTAGGAAGGGCATATGTGTTTCATAATTGGAATGTTTTATTCCTCCATGTAGATTGAAGCTCTCTCCGAGCCCTTCTTCCCGTGTGACAGTATCACGCGCATCCTCGAGTCGCAGCGTGCGTACAACCAGAGGGAAGCGGAAGAGAGTGGACGTGGAAGAATCCGAGGCCAGCAGTAGTGTCAGCATCTCTCATTCTGCCTCAGCCACTGGGAATGTCTGCATTGAAGAGATAGATGTTGATGGGAAATTTATCCGCTTGAAGAACACTTCCGAACAGGTGGAAACACAGACCCCTTTTTGTCCAGCGTGGCTTTGCTGATTGGTGTCTTGCAATTGTAATAACTTCTCAGCCTTTATTTGGATTCAGTCTGTGGAATAAGAGTTTCCTTCTCCTTGTTAACCTAAATTCATGAAATGTAGTATAAATTTAAATAGGAGGAGGAAGGGGGATGGTGCGCTTAGTAGTTTAAAGATTTTATTCTTTAGCTCTTCTTTAGAGAGCCAGGGCTGTTTTTCACATCTGGTCATTTTGTCACCGTGGCCTTCCTAAGGATGAATTATTAATATTCCCTGTCCTACCTAGCCAGATTTGTGAAGAAGTTAGATTATGAATATAGATGGTAGATATTCTTTCCCAGCTGTTAATTTTATGGAAGGAAGGAAATACGAGCCCAGACTCGGACACGTGTAGGGAGTGTTTTTCTCTCTAAATAAATGAATGAATAGTACTGATTTAATTTATATCAAGACTAGTATGAAGCCCTATCTTGAAATTATTTGTTTAAAAGTAAACATAAAATATTCATAGCAGGGAATTCTGAACTTTTGCGCTGGGGCTTTTGAGAGCTCAGTAGTGGAGGTCTTGGGAAGACCCTGGCTAGGCATCATTGAGCTGGGGTCGTGAAGGGGTATCAGGTGATGCCAGAGGAAGGCAGGTCTGGGGTGTAGTGGGGATGCAGTGGGATGGATGTCACTTCCAGAAGCATGTTCAGGATTTGTAAAATGTTTGTAAAATCACTCCTTTTCTCACCAAAGCTATTGAAACTATCTTGCATGTGGATGAATAAATACTTTGGATGGGCAAAGGAGCTTTAGCAGTCCTGATATGGAAGAGCATAGGTTCTAAGCCCTCTTAGTCACGACTTCAGAAACTAAAGAACAGAGTACTTTACTCTGTACTGTAACAGAGTACTGCTACTCCATTGTAGTAGTTTGGCTGTTTTTCAAATGGCATTGCTGTGCTTTGTGGAGCTATTCTGGAGCTGGCTCTCAGCCTTGTTTACTCCTGTCTTTGAGTTAGAGATGGATATAAATAAATTAATTCAGCTAATTGCTTTAATACCCTGCACCGTTCCTCAGGAGAGTCAGGCAGCTCTGGGCAGCCTGCGGGCTAGCGTTGATAGCCGGTGCTTGGGACTGGCTCATTATGTCATTGAGCCCCTTATGCTTTAAGGTAAGAGTTAAATATGGGCAGAAGTGGTACAGATGAAGAAGAAAAAGGACATATTTTCTTCCTTCTCTTTCCAAGCTTTATGTATGTATATTTTAAAAGCTTAAAGCATCAAAAATTAGATGTTTATAATGGTGGTTATGAAGCTAGATTGTGTTGTAAATTTAAATTATATAACTGTTCTAGCATTGAATATCACCATTTAATTTGGTACACATCCCTTTTCTTGCAGTTTTGTCCTCTTTAAAATTAAACACTTTAATAATTAAAACTGCAGCATTGTCAAAGTTTCTGTTTTTCTGAATGACAAAACCATGTTTTCTTTTCATAGTAGGAAAATATGAACCATGGGAAGACAGTCATAAAGTTGTCTTAGTTTAACTGCCTATGGATTGATTTATTTGATTATTCCATAACTTTCTGTATATTTGAAGTGACCTTGTTTTATTTTGTTCTTTCAATAGGATCAACCAATGGGAGGCTGGGAGATGATCAGAAAAATTGGAGACACATCAGTCAGTTACAAATATACCTCAAGATATGTGCTGAAGGCAGGCCAGACTGTTACAGTAAGTTAATTTAGTTATCATTTAATTTAACTTCATTGTCTTAACCAATAGTTGAAGTAATTAAAACCATTTTAGCTTAAAGAGAAGCATTTTAGAAATGGGCATTAAAATGTTTTTGACATTATTAGGGAATTACAAGTGCTATTAAAGATTTTTAAAATTCTTTGTTATTGAGAGTGGTAAGTGACTATTAAAAGTGAAAGAATTGATCTTTGAATTATTTTTATTTTCTCTACTCCAGTAGAAATTAGCAGCTGACACCCCCCCTTCACCCCTAAAGAAGTTGAGGTGACTGTCTCCTTTTATCAATTCCTTTGTAAAAATATTAAATACATGTTTAAGATTTTATGATTGATACAGACCTTACTGAGTGTTTAAGATCAAAAGCTCAAACAGGGTAGAACTTCTCTTTTAAAAAGTGTATTCATAGAACTTGCCACCACATTGTGAAAATATCAGATGCTAATTTTGTAATAATGGGTAAAAATTGGAAAAGATATCCTAACCACGCTATCTTTTCTTTTCTTTAGTAATTATTGTAATGAGAGGAAATTTCTCAGCCCTGTTATGTGTCTTACGGAAGCTGCATAATGTGATGGAAAGAGTCTGACATTTTTAATTCAGAAGATTCAGATTTGAGTGTGCCCTTTATCTCTTTAAAAGTATAAAACCAGTCTGCCAATCATCTGCTTTTTCCACTGGTTACAGTTCCTCAGTGACTAAATAGATATATATATTCTATAGGTCTAGTGGAGAACTCAATTTTCACATAAAAAAATGTAAGGCATTTTTTTTTCCTTTGGTAGCTGGCATAAATGTGTTAAGAAGCTCTTTGGAATGTGGTAATCATAAGTGATATTTCTGTAAAATTGTACAAGGCAGGGCAATAGCAAAGATCAGTTTAAAACTCCAGAACAGGGGCTTCCCTGGTGGCACAGTGGTTGAGAGTCCACTTGCCAATGCAGGGGACACGGGTTCGTTCCCCGGTCTGGGAGGATCCCACATGCCGCAGAGCGGCTGGGCCCATGAGCCATGGCCGCTGAGCCTGCGCATCCGGAGCCTGTGTTCCGCAACGGGAGAGGCCATAACAGTGAGAGGCCCGTGTACCGCAAAAAAAAAAACAAAAAAAGCAAAAAACCCCCTCCAGAACAGAAGTAAGGGAACTACTATGTAATTTTAAATCTTCTTGTAGCCGCATTAAAAACAAGTGAAAAAGAAAGATGTGAAATTAACTTTAGAACTATGTTTTAAATTTAACCCAATATATCTAAAATATTATCATTTCAACATCTGATGAATATAAAAGTTATTAGATCACTTTAAAAAATATCTATTTATTTATTTATTTGGCTGCACTGGGTCTTAGTTGCAGCCCACAGGATCTTTGTTGCAGCATGTGGGATCTTTAGTTGTGGCATGCAGGATCTTAGTTGCGGCATGTGGGATCTAGTTCCCTGACCAGGGATCGAACCCGGGCCCCCTGTTTTGGGAGCGTGGAGTCTAAACCACTGGACAACCAGGGAAATCCCTTTTTTTAAAAAAAAAAAAAAAACTAAATCTTGACACTTCGAGATACGCTTACAGCACACCTCAGTTGGGACTAGCCATGTTTCAAGTGCTCACAAGCCACATATAGCTACCATATTGAACGACACAGCTCTAGGACATACTAGTTTTAGGTTAAATTACCCAGTAAGGTTACTGACGTGTTACGATTATTATTAAACACTAAACCAACTGTATGATTCCATATGGACTAGTGAAAAGTATAGCTTGAGGTTAGATTAACATTCCACATAACCTGAAAGTCAGCCCAGATCCAGTTCTCTTTTCAGTTTTATCCTAGTAATGCTCCTTGCCCCTTTCCATTTATAATGGTGATGGAAGATCTGGAAGCTTCAAGTGAGCACTTTAAGAGGAAGGGGTCTCTCCTAATTAGTAATTGATAAGGTCTTCTCCCCATTTAAAAGAATACCTGCTTATACTATCTCCAGTCTTCATTCTGCCATCATATGGCCCTTTATATTGCAAGACAATTTATGGAGTACAAAACTTTCCTGTCTCTTTTCATATGGTCTTTTAGAAAGATCAGGACTGGTAGTAGTGTCCCTACAAGTGAGGACATAGAGGTTTGTAGAGGTGTAGTGTTATGTCCATGATACAAACCCAGGTTTTCTAACTCTCAAGTGTTCTCTATTCTACCAATGCTCTTCTGCCAGTAAATACATAAAAAATGTTGCAGAATTTCCCTGCTTATGAAAAGGGAAATCTTTCTGTTTCTTTTGCCTATTTCTGTAGCAGTCATATTTTCCATTGAATAATGGGTTATTTGTTTCCTGAATTCTTTTTGGAATTCAGACTCAGACACTGGGGTATTATGACACTGTCTCTGGTTGGATATATACCACCTTCCATTAGAATATTCTAGATAGGCTGTCTGCTGCAGAGCTTTTGAGAGAAGTTGGTCATCTCCTCAATTCCTGCTATAGGCAGCTGGAGGATACCATTGGAAGGGGTAGAAGGCTCTAACACGGAAGGGATGGCTATGAAACCCGTAGAATAATAGAATGCTAACAGTGAGAGCTTATATTCATTGAGTCAGCCATCTCCTCCATGTGGGTAATCATTTTTCTTCACAACAGTCCCGTGTATTATCAGTACCATTTCTGTACCATTGGAGGGTAAGTAAGGTAGCTTGCTCAAGGTGAGCTGGCATGTAGGCGAGCTAGGATGTGAATCTAGGCAACTTCACTTCAGAGTCCCGTGTGTCAACATTTTTATTTATCAGACTGGGAAGCTGAGGCCTAGCTAAGCTCTATGGGATATACAGCTAGTTAATATAGCAAGTCTAAAGCTAGGCCATAGTTCTGGAACTTTTAGAATCAGTCCTCTTACAAGGTGTTAAAGTCTCATCATTATGTTGTTATTGGCACGTGGGAAAGCTGGGCTCTGTGTAGAATGATTTCCTTTTTTCTTTCTAGATCTGGGCTGCAAATGCCGGTGTCACAGCCAGTCCTCCCACCGACCTCATCTGGAAGAACCAGAACTCTTGGGGCACTGGCGAAGATGTGAAGGTTATATTGAAAAATTCTCAGGGAGAGGTATGGTCATTTTATGGGTACCACCACAGTGTCAATTTTTTTTCTTCATTGAAGTATAGTTGACTTACAATGCTGTGTTAATTACTGCTGTACGGCAGAGTGATTCAGTTATACATATATGTACTTTTTTTTTTTTTTTTTGGCCACGCCACGCAGCCTGTGGGATCTTAGTTCCCTAACCAGGGATTGAACCCGGCCACTGGCAGTGAGAATGTGGAGTCCTAACCACTGGCCTGCCAGGGAATTCCTGTGTACATTCTTTTTTTAAAATACTTTTCCATTATGGTTTATCATAGGATATTGAATATAGTTCCCTGTGCTATGCAATAGGACCTTGTTGTTTGTCCGTTTTATATATAATAGTTTGCATCTGCTCATCCCAACCTCCCACTCCCATCCCTGCCCCAACCCCTGCCCCCTTGGCAACCACCAGACTCTTCTCTATGTTCGTACCACAGTGTAAGTTTCACCTGAGAGTTCATCATGCAAGTGTGATTTCTTTTCAAAAATCAAATTTAAATGTGAAGTAACTGATTGCTTAAATCAGACCAAGGCTGCTGAGTCAATGAAAGAGATGCTAACTCCAGGTTTTAGGAATGAAATATGATTGTTAGTACAGGTTCCAGAGTCAGTTTGTGTCCAGTTTCTGTCTTCACTGCCCAGTGACTTTGTGACTTTGGGTAAGTTCCTTCACCTCTCTTAGTTTTATCATTTTAAAATGGAGATAGTAATAACAAGATAACTAATATAAATAAGATAATATAATGAGAATAATATAAATGAGACAATCCTTGGGAAATGGTCAGAATAGTATCTGGCCACTGGTAAATGCTTAGGTTATTAACCTTGTTACTGACTTTCAACATGCTCGTGAAACTGAGTTTAAGGATTGTGGAGTGTACATTTGCTTGATGTGTATGTTTTCAACACGTCAGTCCTAGAACTCTTGTCAAAGAACCTTACCTACCCCCACTGTCACATAAAGACACTCCCAAATTCCCCCAGCCACGCACACATACCAAGAGATGAAAATGTCTTCAAGGATGGCGTGGTTTCAGGTCAAAGTACAGTATTCCCTTAGGGGTTTCTTCTCTGCTCCCATAGTGCCCAGGCACAGACCTTGTCTAGCTTGTCACGTTGTCCTCTCTCACTAGAGTAATAAGCATGTCAAGGGCAAGGACCTGTTCTGATTTTTCCTGGCACATAATAGGCACTTAGTGAGAAATTGCTGGATAAAATTTTAGGAAAATCAAACATGGACCTTTACTTAAGTTCAGAGAAATAAAGTGTAATTAATAACATTCATTCTGGGGGTCTGAGGTGTTTGCATACGAGAAGCCCTCTGCCCAGCCATCTTTCCAGCCATCCCTCACTGTAAACATCTGCTGGTGTTTAGACTGCTCTTAGTAAGGAATTCACTGTCTGCTGAATGAAGAATGCCCTTTATCTCAGACTGAGGCTAAAAATGAAAGGTCATCTTATGATTTCCACTGCAGACTTCAGTACAGTTCACCTCCAAATACTTGCTGGTTCTCAGGGTGTGGGCGTTTACAGATGCCTTCCGGAATTCACAAACTTCGAGGAGCTGGATCTCCTCCTGTTCTCTGTGTGGAGCCCTGCTCGCTTTTTGCCTTCGGCACTTTGGAATTCTTCCCAGTTGTCACTGGTGCTGCTGCCCAAGTGCTGAAATTACTGCAGCTCCTATGCTGGTAGTTCCTTCTACATCTAAAATTGGCAGAATACATGTCTCTTTCAAAACAGTGTTACAAGTGCCGATTTGCCCAGATTGAAAAGCACAGTTTTAAGGGGCTATGGTAGATGAAATAGGTTTTCATGAACCATGGAATCTAGTCAGCACCTTTTTCTGTGTGAAAATGTGTTCCAAGTTAGAAACGATCTTATAGGAGGATATTTGGAATGCAGCGGGTTTAAAAGCGCACAAAATAGATACGACAAGTGAAAAAGTAGATGCCATGACATGGGATATGTCTGGAGGTAGTATTACCAGTGATGTTTCAATTAAGCTGAATGAAGCTCAGGTTTCCCTTCATAATTCAAACCACTGAACTCTATAATGGATTATTTGGTTGGTTTGTTTTCCTGTTCTTTTAATAAACTTCTGCATTCTGCTTGTTAGGCTCTATGAAGTGACCTCTGTCAGAAATGAGGAAAGTATTATGAATACAGTTCTTATTTCTGTGATTGTCAGGCAAGTACTTTTGGCATTTATTCATTTAATTTTGTGAGACCATGTTTATTAATAGATCCCAGACCATATTTATAATAATTCATAATTACCACCATAAAGACCACTTTTCTGTAAGAGTTTAGATAATTGGCTTAAGTCAGTGTAATTTTTTTACGTATATTTTCTTGCTGAGACATTGGAGATATCAGGAAACCCAATTAAACTGGCTTTAAAATAATGGGAATATATGAGTTCACAAAACCAACCATCCAGAGATGTTGTCTGTTTCCTGGGTGTCTTCCTCAGGTGCATCATTCTAGGTTTACTTCTCGTGGGCAAGAGCATTGTGCCTAGTCAGGTCCTCGTCTGGGCTTTGCTCTCGTACCAGCCTGGGTCATGTGCCCACCTCTGAGCCAGTTCCTGGAGTCAAGAGAACAGAGTTAGAGCTTGAGCCTTCTCCATGGCTAGATCACATTCAGCTTGTGACACACATGTCACATCTCCATGGGAGAGAGGGTACCCAGGTAAAAGTGGGGGCTCTTACTGAGAAATGGCTGGGGAGGGGTGGTCCTAGGGATGAAAAACAGCAAATGTCACCATAGAGAAATAAAATGTTATTTTAATGAGGGAAATAAAAAATAAAGCAGTCTCTCTGTACCTTCTAGAATATAGGCATCACTGAAATTTTTGTATATGCAGATGATTACTTATGTATACAGAGATATTCTAGTTTAACAGTCAGCTCCTTCATCAACAAAAACTGCCTTGATTTTTAGTATTTGCTGAACTGTGGTGATTTCAGGATACCCACACGCTGTGACTGAGCACGGAGTTGAAGAGGCAGCACGTGAGCTGGCGCTAGCTGGCCCTGCAGCACTGCTGGGGAGATGGGTGTACCTTTATGTGCCCAGGGCTTTACCCAGGCAGACCCATGGCATGTTGATAGAGACCATTTTTGTGTGCCTTTCAAGGCACTTGATAGGGTTGGGTGTCTTGCTGAGAGGAATTTTTTGGTAAAGACATTTGTCTTTTAGCACCTTGACTAATAATTTCCTGGGCCTAAACCTTCCAGCAACTTTTGGTTCTAAATTTGTTTTATTATTTTTCTATTTAATTTTGTCGACATTTATTTAGCTCACTTATATTCCATACAGGCTTTCTGCATTAAATTAACTGATTTTTAAATGTTGTCAAATGAAAAGTGCTTAACAGCAGGCTTACATTAAAGGCAATTATGCTGAAGTAATTCATAATTAATGAAGTTGGGCAAGTTGCTCTTTTCTATGCTTCTCATTTGAGGCTCATAGTCTGGTGTTTCATCACAAGCTCTAAGAGCCGGTGTTTCCATATGGGATGTATACACTGTCATGAGTTGCTAGAAGCTGAAATGTGAGAATTCTATAACAGATTTTATTTGACTTTTCTTTCCTCATTTTAAGATGAGTTGAGGGAAGCTAGGTACTCTGAAAACTTTTTGGGAATCTTTTTTCTGTTTTGTATGCCATCATCCCCCAGTGGATATCTTAGTTCAAAGAGTTGTAATTGATCTAAGGATTCACATGCTTTTTTATTAGTACTAATTTGGTTAAAGCAAGTGTTATTTGTGAAAAGACTATTTGTGTGTATAAACATGGACTGATCTCACAGAATTGAAGTTTCTGGCTAATTCAGACTCAAAATGGTCTATCTTCCTCGCCGTGCAACAATAATCAAAATTCCCTACAAAATACTACTGTACTACCTTACTTCATTTATAAAATATATATGTGGACATGTTGTAAATAGAACTCTCATTTCTCTGTCACTGTTCTCTGGTTTTCTTCCTCTGCCATTTTAAACTAGCTGGTCTGTGTTAAATTTCAGGTAAGCTTTTACTGACGTGATTTTAGTGTCTTCATCTGGAGTTATCTTTCTTGAGTAACCTTAGGACATGCATGGTACAGAGTAAAATTAGACGTTCTGCAGCACTCTAGGACACACTCATTTACTTGCTGCTAGATCATCAGGTTAACCTTGTGCTTAAACAGAAACACTGCTGCATTTGTGCAAGTCAGCATTCTCTACAGGATAGTTATTTGTATTTGCGCCTTTCAGTAGAAAATGGAAATGGTTACTTTCTGTTATGCCTCCAGTGAATAATAGGAATTCTGTTTTTTTGTACAGAGTACATTGGAACTTCACTGGTATGTTGTTAGTAAATAGTGTTCCTGTGTCTTGATTCTGTTTCATTCAAGAGGAACTAGCTGCTGAAGGAATGAAAGTTTGTCCTTTTCATCTCACTCATCAGGTGGTCCTCTTGCCACCGAGGTCCCTGAGAGCACAGCAGTTAGACTCTGACTTCATTTTATTCAGCATTTATTTAGCACCTTCTCTTTGCTAGGAGCCAAGATCTTTAAGCTGAATTCATGTTGAGTGTTATAAAGAATTTAGTGTGCCAAATCATTTACAGAATTCTTAGTAACAGAATGGGATAAAAAGCAGTGGGAACTTCTCAGCAGGTATTTCAAATTGGATACCAGTAGCTCCCCTGCAGGGAATATTGAAAATCTAAGAACTGCTACTAATTATGCAAAAATTTCTGTTCAGTAGCTGAAGCTACTGATGAGCCACTTAAAAAAAAAAAAAGAAAAGAAAAGTCCCTGACATAGGAATGCTGTTTCTTAAATTTACGCAACGAAAAGATGTCGTCCTCCCACAGTCTTTGTGATTTTTAAGTATAGTGGGTTTTTTTTTTAAATTAATTAATTTTTTATTTTTGGCTGCGTTGGTCTTTGTTGCTGCGCACCGGCTTCCTCGAGTCGTGGTGAGCGGGGTCTACTCTTCGTTGCAGTGCGCGGGCTTCTCATTGTGGTGGCTTCCCTTGTTGTGGCGCACAGGCTTAGTTGCTCCACGGCATGTGGGATCTTCCGGGACAAGGATCGAACCCGTGTCCCCCACATTGGCAGGCGGATTCTTAACCACTGCACCACCAGGCAAGTCCCAAAGTACAGTGTTTTAACTTAAATCAAACTCTTGTGTTTAGGAGGTTGCTCAAAGAAGTACAGTCTTCAAAACAACCATACCTGAAGAGGAAGAGGAGGAGGAAGAAACAGCTGAAGTGGCTGTCGAGGAAGAACTTTTCCACCAGCAGGTATTACTTTAATATATGTCTTTTAAATTTTATTAACAGAATTACATGAAAACCAAAACCAGTAGTGGAGCTTGTTTTTTCCCTATTACTTGATGAACTAAGTCAGTGATCTACCAAGTGGGGTTTGTTTTTCCTGAGGGGATCTTCAAGATACAGTACATTTGGGTACTGGAAGAAAATGTTTGCACTTCTTTTTTAAAAATTATTTCTCATATCAAATTTCAGTTTTGTCTTTTGTTTTATAATGTATGTAATATGTTATGGTAGGGCATGTATGCCACATAAATAAGTATATATGGATTGGAATGCATGCTAAAAATTATTTATTGAAGGGTTCTTTGATTGAGTTTAGATGACTAAATTGGAGCAGGTATCTGCATATAAACTCAAGAAAAACAAAGAGTAGGGATTTCCCTGGTGGCGGAGTGGTTAAGAATCCGCCTGCCAATGCTGGGGACACGGGTTCGAGCCCTGGTTGGGGAAGATCCCACATGCTGCAGAGCAACTAAGCCTGTGAGCCACAACTACTGAGCCTGTGCTCTAGAGCCCGCCAGCCACAACTACTGAGCCCGCGCGCTGCAACTACTGAAGGCCACGTGCCTAGAGCCCGTGCTCTGCAACAAGAGAAGCCACCGCAATAAGGAGCCCGTGCACCGCAACCAAAAGTAGCCCCTGCTCGCTTCAACTAGAGAAAGCCCATGTGCAGCAAGAAAGACCCAACACAGCCAAAAAATAAATAAATTAAATTTAAAAAAATCATTACCTGATTAAAAAAAAAAGAGTAATGTTCAGCTTCAGTGTGAAGCAAAATTCTTGCTGTCTTAAGTTTTTAATTATTTAATTGCAAGATAGATTTTAGCTGATGCTTGGACTTTTGAGAGTCCTTGAAATAAACTCCAAATTTGATTTTAATTAATTAAATTGGAATTATTAATAAGTAATGAGCCTTCAGTTTATATTCTCAAGCTGTTCATGTCTATCATTAATCAAAATTCCTACCCTTATCCTTATAAGATGTCGTCACCATGTCTCCAGATTTATAAATCTGTTTGTTTTGCTTAATTAGCCCCAGTCCTGCTCCAAATAAACATTTTCTTATGTGTTCAGCCTCCAGAGTTGAGAACCACTTGAGGTGGGTTATAGGAGAATGAATTTTTGGCATGGATACTTCCTCGTACATTTTGGAGGAATATTTAAGAACAGGTGTTTTATACTTGGCTTTAACAAGAAACAGGTACAAGATCCATTTTCTGCCCTTATTTGAAATATTATAATGACTGGAAGTAAAATAACAATATAAGAGATATCTCAGGGTGCCAGGCTAGTGGTTCAGAGCATGAGTTGTAGCAGGTCAGATGCTGGAGAAGGCTGTTTAGGCCACCAGAACAGTTGAGAAGATCTCTGGAAAATAGGCTTGTCCAGTATTTTGAAAGATGGGCAATTATTTGAGTATTAGAAGGCAGATGGTAGTGTTCTGTGGTTGTTTGAATTATCTGTTGCTACATTAGGAGACCACCTTAAATTAAAGCTCAGTGACTTAAAACTGATTTCTTAATTCCTATGACTCTGTGGTTTGACTGGGCTCCACTGGGCAATTCATTTGTTCCCACCCAATGGAGAGTGAAGTCAGTCATGCAGTTGCATTCAGCTGGAAGCTTGGCTAGGGCTCAAATGTTCTCCATGTCTGTTTCCATGTGGTTTCTTATCATTTGGTTGTTTAGTCCAACCTTCTTTACAGCATGGCAGCTGGCTTCCAAGAGAGTGAAAACGGAAAGCATTAGATTTCTTAAAGGCCCATATTCTTTTAGTCAAAGTAAGTCATAGGCCAGCTTCAATTCCAGGGGAGGGTAAATAGTCTCCACCTCATAATGGGAGGAGTGGCAAAGAATTTATCATGATCTTTAATTCATCACAGGGTATATGTCAAGACTTGAGCACCAAGTATATCTGTCCATCCAGTTGTGTTTGTAGGGTGTGAGTGAGAGATAAGTGAAGTGGGGAGGTTGGTGTTAAATCAGCATACTCTGGAATGCCTAGGGAAGGAGCTTCTGCACACTTTGGAGCAAGGAGAAGTTGAGACAATATCAGAGGGATGACTGTAGAAGGGAGATTGCAGACACCCTGAGAGACTATGCAAATGGAGATTCATTAATTAAGGCATAGTGACCGAACTTGAGGGGGAGAAGAAAAAAAATCAAAGATGTGCGAGGTTTTTAGCTTTTGTGATCAGAAGAAATAATGATATCAAAGTTCTAAAGAGGGGACTTCCCTGTTGGCGCAGTGGTTGAGTCCGCCTGCCGATGCAGGGGACACGGGTTCGTGACCCGGTCCGGGAAGATCCCACATGCCGCGGAGTGGCTAGGCTCGTGAGCCATGGCCGCTGGGCCTGCGCGTCTGGAGCCTGTGCTCTGCAACGGGAGAGGCCACAACAGTGAGAGGCCTGCGTACTGCAAAAAAAAAAAAAAAAAAGTTCAAAAGAGGGAAGATGGAAGGATGGATCAACTATTTTGACTTCATATTAGAGAATGAATCCAGTGGCTTTTTGAGTTGATTAGAAGTCTTTCTGGTTGACCTTCAAGAAACCAATTTCAGTAGTCAAGTGGTGTTTCACAGTCATGTTGTGAGATTTTAAGGAATTAGTGAGTGATAAAGAAATGGATAGAGGGAGCCGTTTTGACTTCACATTTGAAGATGAACCCAATGCAAATGCTTCAGGATATGAAAGCTGAGGATCCAGCAAGCCATATTTCCTGATGTGGTTGTTCAGAATGCCATCCACTGAGCTCCTGTTTCCTAAGTTACCAAAGGATGTTATTGAATAGGAAGTTTCAACTTCAGCTGCTTATTAGGATTTCTTAGGGAGCTTTAAAATTACATATAAATAGATACTGTTCCCCAGTTAAATGAGAAATTCTCATTTATTTTAAAAAAATTTATTTATTTATTTATTTTTGGCTGCATTGGGTCTTTGTTGCTGCGTGCGGGCTTTCTCTAGTTAAAGCGAGCGGGGGCTGCTCTTTGTTGTGGTGTGTGGGCCTCTCATTGCAGTGGCTTCTCGTTGTGGAGCATGGGCTCTAGGTGCGAGGGCTTCGGTAGTTGTGTCATGCGGGCTCAGCAGTTGTGGCTCGTGGGCTTTAGAGCTCAGGCTCAGTAGTTGTGGCACACGGACTTAGCTGCTCCGTGGCATGTGGGATCTTCCCGGACCAAGGCTTGAACCTGTGTCCCCTGCATTGGCAGGCAGATTCTTCACCACTGTGGCACAAGGGAAGTCCGAAATGAGAAATTCTCATTTAATTGATCTAGGGACCTAGATCAGAATTTTGTTTTAAGAACTCCTCAGGATCTCAATGTGCGGCTAGAGTTGAGAATCACTGTTCTGGAATTTGTTGGAGTATTCTAGGGGAGAAGTCCATAAGAGAAGTTTAAAAAGGATAAGTGAGAAGTAATAAACGTCCATTTGAAGTTAGGTAATAATGAATTTGTAGTATCTCTGCCTTATTTTAAAATACCGTGATCCATTTTCTTAGCACTAATTTTTTTTTCTGTTTTCCTCATCAGGGAGCCCCAAGAGGTTCCAATAGAAGCTGTGCAATTATGTAAACTTCTCACATCAACTGGCTTCCTCAAAATAAAGAAGTATGGTAATCCTTACCTACATGCAGTGCAGAGCCTTCTCAGAAGCACAGAATATTTTTATATTTCCTTTATGTGAATTTTTAAGCTGCGAATCTGATGGCCTTAATTTCCTTTTTTGACACTGAACGTTTTGTAAAAGAAATCATATCCATATACTTTGTTGCAAGATGTGAATTGACACTGAACTGTGTACTGTTTGAAAAGGGTCCCTCAAAATTTTGACATTTTTTTTGTATGTGTGGTTTTTTTTTTAAGTTCTATGAGGAGGGGAGGGTAAATAAACCACTGTGTTTTAATTTGTTTTAATTTGAAGATTGCTCCATCTAGATTAGCAATCTGCTCTTGATTATTCTCTGCTATATATAACGGTGCTGTGAGGGAGGGGAAAAGCATTTTTCAATATATTGAACTTTTGTACTGAATTTTTTTGTAATAAACAATCAAGGCTACAAAAATTTTTTTTAAATAGAAAAGAGAAATTTTGTAAGAAGGCAATATTAACCTAATCATCATGTAAGCACTCTGGATGAAGGATTCCACAAAACTTTGTTTTATGGTTACTTCTTCTCTTAGATTCTTAATTCACAAGGGGAATGGGGGGAGGGGGAAGGGGAGAGGGAAGGGTTTCTCCTAAAACGCATTAGTTGTGTTTTTTAAGATAGTGTAACTTGCTTAAATTTCTTATGTGACATTAACAAATAAAAAGCTGTTTTTAATATTAATCTGCTGTCTTTTAACTTTAGAACTGTTTTGGGGGAGAAAAGCATTGTTTCAGTTTTACTTTTGATAAAAATAATTTGGCTTTTTGTTTGAACTAGATTTTTCTTTAAGGCTCTGACAATGGGGAATATAAACACACAAACTATTTTGGGGTCTCCCCTGTTTTCAATACTCTGTTGTCATTAATGATAGCACTAATAAAAGCCATAATAATAGCTAATTTTTTGGAACCAGACACCATGCTCAGTGCTTTATATTTTTTAGCTTATTAACAATAAGACCTTTGAAAATCTCTTTAAGAAAGCCATTTAGGAACATTAGGGACAGTAGGAGAAATTGGGGAAGACACTCCTTTTAAAGGAAAAAAATGGAGATAGTATTTCTGGAATCTAGTTTTACTTTTTTTTTTTTTGTGGTACGCGGGCCTGTCACTCTTGTGGCCTCTCCCATTGCGGAGCACAGACTCTGGACACACAGGCTCAGGAGCCACGGCTCACGGGCCCAGCCGCTCCGCGGCACGTGGGATCTTCCCGGACCGGGGCACGAATCCGTGTCCCCTGCATCGGCAGGCCGACTCTCAACCACTGCGCCACCAGGGAAGCCCAAGTTTTACTGTCTTTTGAAACACAGAAGAGACACTGATTACAAGGAATACAGTATGAATGATAGAAAATATGTGTGTGCTGTGTGGGGTAGTTACGTATGGTGGTAACTAGAGTGTCATTTTTTACGCATTTGGAGAGTTTATCTTGTGATTGCTTTAGCTAAGTGAGTTAGTTCATCTTGTAGAAAGTAGAATATCCAAACCATCCCTAGAATGAACTGTTGATAACAATTCAGAAGCTAATCCAGAGTCAGTGTTTGCTTTTCTCTTAAAATATTCCTGCAGTAAGCTGCACAGACTAGCAACTTACACTTGAAAATAACTCACAAAGTCCCAGAATTACTGTGCTCTGCAGATTCACTGCATTCGCTGGTGCCGTCGGAGACACAAGATAAATGCTGGGTTAGAAATTCTGTCTGGTGAAGCAGATAAAATGATAACTTCACACAGATTTATCTTCAGAATGAGAATGGCAGTGCAGGGTATGGCCCAACTTGCTTGTGAAAAGTGTTGCCACAAGATAGGATTCTTGCCATCAAAATTCATTCTAGGTACTTTATTGCCAGATAAATTGGGTTATAGGAATCACTTTAATTAATTAAGCATTAAGAAAATATGGCAGTTTTTCTTTTTTTTGTGGTACGCGGGCCTCTCACTGTTGTGGCCTCTCCCGTTGCGTAGCACAGGCTCCGGACGCGCAGGCTCAGCAGCCATGGCTCACGGGCCCAGCCGCTCCGCGGCATGTGGAATCTTCCCAGACCGGGGCACGAACCTGTGTCCCCTGCATCGGCAGGCGGACTCTTAACCACTGTGCCACCAGGGAAGCTCAGGCAGTTTTAATACAGAGGAATATTATATACTCTAGTGAAATTTAGAGTAAGAACCCAGGACTCAGTTAATACATAGCTGGGTGCTTCTGAATATGTGGAAGGAGATTGTTGAGTCGATTTAAGCTGACAGACTTTACACTAAATAGAAATTTTCTGAAAGTGAGCTGCACCTACACCTGTTCCCACAGAGCATCTGGGAGGCAGAGGCTCAACGGCTGCCTCTGTGTAGTAAGTGCTTCTCCCCATCAGTGGAGGCTACAGCTGTGTATCTGCATTATTGAACTGTTTCATAACAAGCGTGAAATTTTCCCCCCTTATTTCATCTGCAGTGGTCTAGTTTCACCACTATGTTTAGATACAGATTTATTTTCCTCTTGCTCAGCTCTCACCTCAGGGTTTTTAACTAAGAGAATTCTGGATGTCTGTATTTTGTTGAATATCAGCTCATCCCTGTTCGCTGTTCTTCTCTTCTGGGATTTCTTTTAGCCTTACATTGAACCTGTTCTCTTTCATATGTTTTAGGTTTCTTTGTGCTGTATTCTTAGTATTTATCTCGCTAATTATGTTCTCAGCCCTGTCTAATCTGTTTATCCCATTTGTTGTAGTTTCTAGTTTCGTTAACTGTACTTTTCATTTCTGAAATTGTGCTTGATTCTTTTTCAAAATTTGCCTGTCCTCTTTTCAACTTTTTTTTTCTTTTTTTTAACTATAGTTGTCATCTTTTAAAAAGGTCATTTTCATCATATTTATTTTATAGTCTCTAGTCTGTGTTCTTGAGTATGCCCATTTTTTTTTCTCTCAGCCGCAGAAAAATTATTGGTGGTTTGCTTCCTCGTGGGGTTTTTAGGATTGTGAACTTATCTTCAGTAAGGGCTGTTTATTTTGTGAGTTGTCCCTGTCCCAGGGTTTTGCTACAGAGTAATTTGGAGGTTTCCTGTGCTGTCTCCCCAGTGATGAGGTGGTATAGTGGTCTGGACCTCTGCTGCTGTTTTCTCACCTTGCGGTGGTGAAGGTCCACTAGGACAGTTGTGCGGAGTGTTTGCTGGTTCTTGCAGGTGACTTTCACATGCAGTCCCCCGGCCCCAGCAGGAGCTGGGTTTTGGTCTGGGCCGGCAGGCAGTCCGTGTTCTGCTTGCCTGGGCTGTGGGCTGCACGGCGTGGTCCTGTGCCTTGTGCACCGGGCCCTCTTCCTTGCATGGACTTAAAGCCATGTTTCCTGTCCCCATCTCCAGCCCCCGAGGCTTCTCCTTAAGACTTTGAGTTCTTTGTTCCTTATGGCACCTGGGCATTTCTTGTTTTTTAGGCTTAGTCCTAGATTAAAACAAAAATAAGTTCTAGTTTATCAGTTTTATAGTGGAAGGAAGGGGTCATCTTGGCCAGTTCATTCCACCATCACACACACATACAAATAAATGCACATTTATTTTCATATGTGTGCAGTTTTAAGAGATACAGTTATGCTAAATCATGTTCCTTTGGGCTTCAGTTTCTTACCCATCATCATCCCTTTTACCAAATCTTTTTTTTTT